CCGAGGGAGCGAGTTGAAGAGCTGCAGAGTAGAGCAGATTGGAAAAAACACTGCATATTGATAAGGCATTTCAGATGGTGTTTTTACTGTAAATAATGGAAAAATCATACAAATGGATTCTTTTGCAACATGTGCATTCTTTATGTTGAGCTTTTTATGTACATATTAGATACCTGTGCAAACAGGCATGAATAATAAACTCTCACAATGAGGAATGTCTAGCACAAAATAGGTACACAGCATAATGATGTAATCAATTATAAAATGGAAAATACTGTACCTGTGCCCAAATAGAGGCTTGAATCTGGAGACTTTTGCCAAACAACTCCATCAATTGCATGAACTTTTTATTACTGTACTCAAAGCGATGACCAAAAACCAGCCAGCAGATGATGTTGGAGACAGCGTTGTTGATGAAAAGGTGTGGATTGAATGGCTTGCCTTCACAGTTAAACAGAACATTCCATGTAAATTGCATATTTATAAATGTGCATAATATTGCACATCAGTGTCATTGTGCGTTTATTTTGTACCTTCATAGCTGTTAAGGAATAATTCTTCTAGATATCTAACCTTTTGCTCTGTGACGTTTTATGATCTACTCTGACGTCTGTTATCTCCTTTAAGGAAAGGCATTGGTGCCATATGTGTTGTTGTTACCAGTTTGTGACCGGTCAACTTGTCTGGCACGAATGGTAATTGTTGTGAGAACTCTGAGGCACTTCTTTATCGGTGTTTGTGGACTCTAAGGCCCAGGCTCCATGGGAACGAAAACGGCAAAACGCATAGGATTAACGCAAACGCAATCGCCAAAAAGATTCTGTCCACACGCAATATACACCGGATAATGTCTTGCCACACGAGACAGCTCCGTTTAGATCCAACCGCTGGAAAAGCTGCAGTACATATGCCGAGCCTGTACGTGGCGCTGTAACTTCCTCCACAAAAGCAGCAACTTCCTCCACAAAAGCAGCGAAGAAGAATGGTTGTCATGGCTGCACTTCTGTTTATTCTCCGCGGTGGGGGCCGAGGGAACCGGGCAGAGTTTTTCGCCGGTCAACGTGTGTTAAAGTTTAAATCTTCCGGACAAAATTATAAAAGTGCCGGTCAAAGGTCTTCTTTGTTATTTATTGAGCTTTAAAACAAATGAATAACGACTCTATATAATGATATATAATAATAAAATACACGGAGCCTGTCTCTTTTTCCTCTCTTCTGACAGCGTCAGTGTCTGTCTCATGCAGCAGCTGATCCTGTAATGAGTGACCCGACAGTAAAAATAAACATATTTATAACTAGTTTAGGTAGTTTGAGTGGTAATTAAAATAGCTAAGGGTGATGATCTGACTTGAAGTGTGTGTTTTGCTCCTCCAGCTGCATCACAGCGGGAGGAGCTGCGTGTCTCCGTCCTGTCAGATTAGACTTCACTCGCGTTTATGTCCATATCGAGATAAAGATAAATAATCTGAATTCAGTGTGCAGTGTACTTTTGCGGGGGTGAGCAGCAGAGGTGGGGAGAGGCGGGGCTATTGCGTCGTCATTATCAGAAAAGGATGACCGTATAGGCTACCACACGGCCCCGTTGGACCCCCCAGAGCGCTCCGTTCCCAGATCTATCCACCTTTGGACCCGTTGTCGTTTGCAGGGTCCGTTTCTACCGTTACGTTACGGCGTCGTGTAGCAAAAAGGGCTATACGCAAGAGAAATATGCGGATACAACCCGTTTTCGTTCCCGTGGAGCCTACGCCTCAGATGTGAAATCTTTGAGGCCATGAGTGTCGGACGCAGGTGGTTCAGTGTTCCTAGCTGTTTAGTCTACTCCTTCAGAGATGTTGATTACTCTCTGTGAACCAGTTAAAAGGTCTAACATAGAGAGAGGCTCTTCAGAATTGACGTGGCAACTCTCCCGTGAAGTCAGAACCTCTGACTCGTGATTTGTGATGTGAATCCTCCGGCCGATACTCTGAATAAACCCATCAGTGTTTGACATCAAAAGCTCCAACTCTCACCGTGTCTCCTTCCTGAGTCGGTGACTCCCAATGCATTGCTACACAGAAGTTTCCCCCACAGCTTTTGAAGACTTTTGCGCAATATGTGAATTCATCCAAGATGACTGCTTCAATGGACTTCTTGCCAAATCCAAAATTACGAAGGGTTGAAAGTGCGAAGCGTCTCTGTTGCTTCCACGAGTTCCCATTACTGAAAAGGAACCCTGATGGGTAAAACACCAAAATAAGTTAAACATGAAGTACATACAAATCTGAAAAGTTGATAAATAGTTAGGAGACTGTATATATATGTGTGTGTGTGTGTGTGTGTGTGTGTGTGTCCTGCTTTTTTTTACTTCTTGCACCACAATTATTTCTCAATATTCTTCCAATTAAACGGTCACCCTGTCAGAGGGTGTGTGACTTCCACAGAACTGATAAAAAACACTCACCCATAAACACACATGATGCGTGGACTCATTTGGCTTTGGTGATTGTTTGAGCATGAATTCAGTATAATTTTCATTGGAATATGACTCCTCCCGGGTAATGATTGCACAATGACCCACAGCATCTCTGTTCTCTATATCCCTCTGTTTCAGCCCTGTTTCAAAAGTGCTGATTCTCTGGTGCTTGCCCCACGGGAACGCATACGGCAAAACGCATAGGATTAACGCAATTGCAATCGCAAAAAAGCTTCCGTCCACACGCAATATACACCGGATAGTGTCTGTTCACACGAGACAGCTCCGTTTAGCTCCAACCGCTGGAAAAAGCTGCAGTACATATGCCGAGCCTGTACGTGGAGCTGTAACTTCCTCCACAAAAGCAGAGAAGAAGCATGGTTGCCCTTCTGTTTATTCTCCGTGGTGGGGGCCGAGGGAACCGGCCAGTTTTTCGCCGGTCAACGTGTGTAAAAGTTTAAATCTTCCGGACAAAATTATAAAGTGCCAGTCAAAGGTCTTCTTTGTTATTTATTAAGCTTTAAAACAAATGAATAACGACTATATATAATAATAAAATACACGGAGCCTGGCCTCTCTTTTTCCTCTCTTCTGACAGCGTCAGTGTCTGTCTCATGCAGCAGCTGATCCAGTAATGAGTTGGACCCCCCAGAGCGCTCCGTTCCCAGATCTATCCACCTTTGGACCCGTTGTCGTTTGCAGGGTCCGTTTCTACCGTTCCGTTACGGCGTCGTGTAGCAATAAGGGCTATACGCAAGAGAAATATGCGGATACAACCCGTTTTCGTTCCCGTGGAGCCTAGGCCTCAGATGTGAAATCTTTGAGGCCATGAGTGTCGGACGCAGGTGGTTCAGTGTTCCCAGCTGTTTAGTCTACTCCTTCAGAGATGTTGATTACTCTCTGTGAACCAGTTAAAAGGTCTAACATAGAGAGAGGCTCTTCAGAATTGACGTGGCAACTCTCCCGTGAAGTCAGACCCTCTGACTCGTGATTTGTGATGTGAATCCTCCGGCCGATACTCTGAATAAACCCATCAGTGTTTGACATCAAAAGCTCCAACTCTCACCGTGTCTCCTTCCTGAGTCGGTGACTCCCAATGCATTGCTACACAGAAGTTTCCCCCACAGCTTTTGAAGACTTTTGCGCAATATGTGAATTCATCCAAGATGACTGCTTCAATGGACTTCTTGCCAAATCCCAAATTACGAAGGGTTGAAAGTGCGAAGCGTCTCTGTTGCTTCCACGAGTTCCCATTACTGAAAAGGAACCCTGATGGGTAAACACCAAAATAAGTTAAACATGAAGTACATACAAATCTGAAAAGTTGATAAATAGTTAGGAGACTGTATATATGTGTGTGTGTGTGTGTGTCCTGCTTTTTTTTACTTCTTGCACCACAATTCTTTCTCAATGTTCTTCCAATGAAACGGTCACCCTGTCAGAGGGTGTGTGACTTCCACAGAACTGATAAAAACACTCACCCATAAACACACATGATGCGTGGACTCATTTGGCTTTGGTGATTGTTTGAGCATGAATTCAGTATAATTTTCATTGGAATATGACTCCTCGCGGGTAATGATTGCACAATGACCCACAGCATCTCTGTTCTCTATATCCCTCTGTTTCAGCCCTGTTTCAAAAGTGCTGATTCTCTGGTGCTTGCCCCACGGGAACGCATACGGCAAAACGCATAGGATTAACGCAATTGCAATCGCAAAAAAGCTTCCGTCCACACGCAATATACACCGGATAGTGTCTGTTCACACGAGACAGCTCCGTTTAGCTCCAACCGCTGGAAAAAGCTGCAGTACATATGCCGAGCCTGTACGTGGAGCTGTAACTTCCTCCACAAAAGCAGAGAAGAAGCATGGTTGCCCTTCTGTTTATTCTCCGTGGTGGGGGCCGAGGGAACCGGCCAGTTTTTCGCCGGTCAACGTGTGTAAAAGTTTAAATCTTCCGGACAAAATTATAAAGTGCCAGTCAAAGGTCTTCTTTGTTATTTATTAAGCTTTAAAACAAATGAATAACGACTATATATAATAATAAAATACACGGAGCCTGGCCTCTCTTTTTCCTCTCTTCTGACAGCGTCAGTGTCTGTCTCATGCAGCAGCTGATCCAGTAATGAGTTGGACCCCCCAGAGCGCTCCGTTCCCAGATCTATCCACCTTTGGACCCGTTGTCGTTTGCAGGGTCCGTTTCTACCGTTCCGTTACGGCGTCGTGTAGCAATAAGGGCTATACGCAAGAGAAATATGCGGATACAACCCGTTTTCGTTCCCGTGGAGCCTAGGCCTCAGATGTGAAATCTTTGAGGCCATGAGTGTCGGACGCAGGTGGTTCAGTGTTCCCAGCTGTTTAGTCTACTCCTTCAGAGATGTTGATTACTCTCTGTGAACCAGTTAAAAGGTCTAACATAGAGAGAGGCTCTTCAGAATTGACGTGGCAACTCTCCCGTGAAGTCAGACCCTCTGACTCGTGATTTGTGATGTGAATCCTCCGGCCGATACTCTGAATAAACCCATCAGTGTTTGACATCAAAAGCTCCAACTCTCACCGTGTCTCCTTCCTGAGTCGGTGACTCCCAATGCATTGCTACACAGAAGTTTCCCCCACAGCTTTTGAAGACTTTTGCGCAATATGTGAATTCATCCAAGATGACTGCTTCAATGGACTTCTTGCCAAATCCCAAATTACGAAGGGTTGAAAGTGCGAAGCGTCTCTGTTGCTTCCACGAGTTCCCATTACTGAAAAGGAACCCTGATGGGTAAAACACCAAAATAAGTTAAACATGAAGTACATACAAATCTGAAAAGTTGATAAATAGTTAGGAGACTGTATATATGTGTGTGTGTGTGTGTGTCCTGCTTTTTTTTACTTCTTGCACCACAATTCTTTCTCAATGTTCTTCCAATGAAACGGTCACCCTGTCAGAGGGTGTGTGACTTCCACAGAACTGATAAAAACACTCACCCATAAACACACATGATGCGTGGACTCATTTGGCTTTGGTGATTGTTTGAGCATGAATTCAGTATAATTTTCATTGGAATATGACTCCTCGCGGGTAATGATTGCACAATGACCCACAGCATCTCTGTTCTCTATATCCCTCTGTTTCAGCCCTGTTTCAAAAGTGCTGATTCTCTGGTGCTTGCCCCACGGGAACGCATACGGCAAAACGCATAGGATTAACGCAATTGCAATCGCAAAAAAGCTTCCGTCCACACGCAATATACACCGGATAGTGTCTGTTCACACGAGACAGCTCCGTTTAGCTCCAACCGCTGGAAAAAGCTGCAGTACATATGCCGAGCCTGTACGTGGAGCTGTAACTTCCTCCACAAAAGCAGAGAAGAAGCATGGTTGCCCTTCTGTTTATTCTCCGTGGTGGGGGCCGAGGGAACCGGCCAGTTTTTCGCCGGTCAACGTGTGTAAAAGTTTAAATCTTCCGGACAAAATTATAAAAGTGCCAGTCAAAGGTCTTCTTTGTTATTTATTAAGCTTTAAAACAAATGAATAACGACTATATATAATAATAAAATACACGGAGCCTGGCCTCTCTTTTTCCTCTCTTCTGACAGCGTCAGTGTCTGTCTCATGCAGCAGCTGATCCAGTAATGAGTGACCCGGCCGACAGTAAAAAATAAACATATTTATAACTAGTTTAGGTAGTTTGAGAGGTAGGCTAATTAAAATAGCTAAGGGTGATGATCTGACTTGAAGTGTGTGTTTGCATCACAGCGGGAGGAGCTGCGTGTCTCCGTCCTGTCAGATTAGACTTCACTCGCGTTTATGTCCATATCGAGATAAAGATAAATAATCTGAATTCAGTGTGCAGTGTACTTTTGCGGGGGTGAGCAGCAGAGGTGGGGAGAGGCAGGGCTATTGCGTCGTCATTATCAGAAAAGGATGACCGTATAGGCTACCACACGGCCCCGTTGGACCCCCCAGAGCGCTCCGTTCCCAGATCTATCCACCTTTGGACCCGTTGTCGTTTGCAGGGTCCGTTTCTACCGTTCCGTTACGGCGTCGTGTAGCAAAAAGGGCTATACGTTTTCGTCCTCGTGAGGCACCAGCCTCTGTCTGTTACTTTAGATGAAAATAAGGATCCACTCCCCATGCCCCTCTGAGAGATATTTGGTTAAAAAGAACACAATAGCCGCGTTCACACCGGAGTACTTTTCACCGTACTTTTCGCGTTTAGTTCCGTTAGTACCCCTTATGTCGCGTTCACACCAAAAATCGTACTTAATCTCGGGAACTTTTACCCCCATTTTTAGAGCCTGTTGAGAGATCGTACTTTCCTGTGGGTGAAAAGTGCCCCAAAAGTGCCCCAGTGCTGATTGGCTGGGCGAATTGCAAACCACGCCCGTACAACTGTGAAAATGTTGTGTGGAGCAGCCATTGTTTTTCCTCGCTACAAAAACCCAACGCTCCGACGGAGATGGTGCTGTTCACCAAGGCCCAGGAAACGGAGGACAAGATGCTCACCTCGATGGAGCGCCAGGCAGAAGTGTTCAAGCAGCAGATGGAGCGCCAGCAGCACCAGGATGAAGTGTGGGCGCTGCGCCATGAGGAAGCGTCGGCGCAGCGCCAGGAGCGGCAGGATGAGCGACAAACTGCATTTAATAACAGTTTATTTGGTATAGTTTTTGTAAATACTGACACACGACACACAACTTTGCACTAAGGTGTGTATGCTGTACGATTGTCAATGGGGGGGGGGGGGGGGGGGGGGTGGTGGGGGTGGCGTCAGTGGAGTACAGCGCTTCGCGATTGTCAACGGGGGGGTGGGGGGGGGGGGGGGTGGTAGTAGAGTACAGAGCTCTACAGAGCGTGTGAACGTTGTGATCAGCTGTTTTAGCGCAGGGCTGCTGTACAGACCGACGTTAACAGCAGCCCTGTCTGTGCACACGGAGACCGACTCTCGTCCGGTGAACTAACCGCCTTCTGGAAAAGCTTCACATTTACGTCGGTACGCAAATGCGCTTTGTGACACAAGTGACGGTACGCATTTCAGATTGTTGCCGCGCATGCGTACCTGCGTACCAGTTATGTGCACCCCTGGTTATGACTTTATTTTATATATAATGTTTACTGACATGTACAACTGACACTTTATTTACATTTAAAATTGTTCTATTTAATGTTATGTCTTGAGAGTGCAATAAAGAAAACCGACATGGCGATTAAGCTTATTTCTCCTGACACTTTATCTTTTGTGACCTGTGTAGCATCCTATACATCACATGTAAGTGATTATTCTGATACCATCATGTTTCATCGGTTATAAACTGGCAAAGCTTTATTTGTCATTTATTTATCATCAATGTTGCAACCTTGTGGGGGAATGGCAGCGGCACATACACAAATATGATAATTTATATCATTTTAAATATTATTTGACCTAAACTTTTAATTCCCCCCCATTTCACACAACACAACATGGAGTCCACTATGGGCCAAAACTAACATGTATGTTTGCATAGTGTTTATGGCAGACGGATGCAGTGGGTCTCAGGAAGATATATATATATATATATATCTATCATTAAGGTGGGTTTGCTGCTGAGACTCCCTACACCTGGGACAGTTTATTTTATATTGTTATTACTGTTATTATATAGTACAACTGACACTTTATTTTATATTGACAATGTTTACTGACATGTACAACTGACACTTTAGTTACATTTAAAATATTTCTATTTAATGTTATGTCTTGAGAGTGCAATAAAGAAAAACCGACATGGCGATTTAAACAGATCCTGTATCAGCCATCCTACGGTGAAACATGGCAATCATGTGTGCTTTCCGTCGGCCAATCCTTTTCCTAAAGCTTTTGAACTGCCTTTGATGCTGAAGAAACTTTGCGATTATAGCATTCGACGTGTGGCGGCTCCGGATTTTTGTCGGACGCCTAATAGGCTCAGGCTCTGGCCGCATTAACGAAGTTACAAAGCTGTATAACATGAGCACAAACAGCACAACTTCAGTCGACTCCATCTCCATCATGTCTGAGGTCGGAAGGTAAACAACAGACAGTATACGCGGGAAGTTTTTCTTCTTCTTCTTCTCTTGTTTTGTAGCGGATTGCACACAACTTTAAGGTGCTTACCGCCACCTACTGTACTCGCCGTGAAGTGGTTTGTGGCCTGCCAGTAAAGCCAAAGCAGAAGAAGAAGAAGTGACGTCAGCGGCTCATTTGCGTAATCTTCCCTCAGGGAAAAGTACTCCGGTGTGAACGCGATCTGTACTAAGTGCCCTGGGGTTAAAAGCGCCGGAACTAAGTACAGGAAAGTACTTGGTGTGAACGCGGCTAATGGTGCTCTAGGAGGAGATTCAGGTGATAAGGTGGGGGGGGGGTTACCTTGGTTGGTGATTGGCTAATGGTTACACAAGCCAAAAAATCATTATGACATCACAAAGTGGCCAAAATCTTATCAACTCATTTTCAGACAGGTTTCTATATAAATGGATCGGGACAAAAAGTGAGCAAATCTTTTTTCCTGAAACTTTCAGAATCTCTTTACACAGAGGGGACACATGTTGATGTATAAGAGACATTAAAAAGTGGATTTTGTATAATAGGTAACCTTTAAAGAAGCTAATAAAACCGGAAATTGTGTTGCTCCTCACCAGCAGAAAATGGGATGAAAGCAGCTCGCTTCACAAACTTCCCCTCCTTGTCTGGACGGCGGTCTGGACTCTCCAATCACTCCGTCTATCTCAGCCTGGACCTTTGCTGTGGAATAGGATGGGAACAGGCCGACGTTGAAACATTAACATGCTGGAATAGAACATCTTATAGACCAGCGGTTCCCAACCTGTTGGCCGTGGTTCCCTAGTGGGCTGCGAAGGCATTGCAAGTGGACCGCCAAATAATTTGAAAACATTATGATTTGTGTGGAAACATTTCATTATTAAGATTTTTTTTTATTTGAACCTCTTTTCCTTTCTCTTTCTTGATCCTCCTTAGGATTTGTACTCCTTGTACTACTGGATTAACGTGTCACATGTTCTGAATTGACCAATCAGAACTTTATTTAGCCTCCGTATTGTGGTTGAATGTGGGCCGCGAACATTTTATTCATATGTGGGCCCTGAGTTGAAGAAGGTTGGGAACTGCTGTTATAGACACTTTCCATTCTGTCTGTTGTGATTTTAATTTGATTAGATTTTTACTCCAACCAACATTACATATCTTTGTATTGTCATATCATCACACATTTGGACATAATTAAGTAAGTACAAAAAATGTGTTGACTTAGTTAGTGCTTTTACCCTGCATCTCAGGGTACTTTGCCATGTAGAGGAAATGAGCATGCTGATAAGTTAGCAAAAGATGCGTTACAGAAGGAAATAGCAATACCAGTTTCACTTGGAAAAGGAGAAGGAAAAGCAATAATTAAGAAGAAGGGTATGGAAATATGGCAGAAATGGTTGGAGGAAGATCAGAAAGGGAGGAGATACCACAAGTTACAGAAATCAGTCATAATAAAGATGTATACAGAAAGGAACAGACGGGAGGAGATCATCATTAGACTCAGATTGGATCATACAGGATTAAACGGCACAATGTTTATAATGGTAAAAAGCAAAGTTGAAGAATGCAGGGGGTGTGGAGTGAAAGAAAATGTGGAACACATCATATTACACTGCAACATGTACAAAACAGAGAGGGAAAAACGAAGAGACAGGGTCAAAGGCAGGAAGGGAGTGGAGCCTGATGGGGATACAGGGAACAGAAGGTGAGGGGGTAAGAGCTACCAGGAAGGCCATTCTTAAGTATTTGAGTGAAACAGGATTGATTGGAAGAATTTAAAACAACGTAAATACAGTGGTATAATTCCACAAGTGGTGATAGGATGATATGGTGATACACACTCTTGTACAGTAGGTGGCGGTATGCACCTTAACCTGTTAACCCCCGAGCCTGTTTTCCAGGTCTCAGGCTCGAAAATGACATTTCCAGAACAAATGACCATAACTACACTTCTAAAAGGGGAAAATTAATAATCTTTTTTCTCAAAGTAATGATAAACCTGTGAGTTTATTGTTATTATTTTTTAAACTAAAGTAAAGTAACTTGTTACTAGTTACTTTTAAAATTTAGTAACTAATAAAGTAACTAGTTACTTTTTTGAGAGCAGTAACTATAACTATTACTAGTTACTTTTTAAAAGTAACTTGCCCAACACTGTATGTCACGTGATTTGAAGCAAGCTTCGAAGCACTGCTTCTATGGAATAGGAAGTCCAGGGTTTGAAGCACGTATCGAAGCTTCAGAGTCAAACTGCCATCACTACTTATTATACATCCATGGTCAGACCACGTTATCCCCAAGATGGCGCCGCACGGGGGAAGCTAAGCTAATACGCACACGCATTCAAACCCTCTTTTAAACATGTAAACAGCGCTACAAACACTCCACACTTTCAGTGGGCCGTCACACCATATACGCGAACATTATGGGGGGGTTCATATGATTTTTGCACCTTTTACCAACCTGTAATGAGCAGGTGAGACAGGAGCAATGAGGACACGGGTTGCGTTCGAATACTCCAAAAAAACAGCTCCTAAGTTCTAACCCTATCGTCTATTCCTTGACCTCGGAGTGAAACGTCATGGGGTTAAGGGATAGTGGATAGGAGAATTCAAAAGGATTTAGGAGAAGAGACTGCGGCACTTTAGAGAATCCGACTGCACTTTCACTATCCGACGTGTTTATGATGCGCCAGCAGAGGTCATAAATGTGCGCCTGCTGCTGTGGGGAAACTATGGAAACTACAGTTTTCTATACAGCGGACTACAACATGGATGTTTAATAAGAACGAGGGACTACTGTAAACTCATCTAGAGACTCTGCACCGTGCTCTGATGCTGTTGTTTTATGCTTTATGAACGGGGACAACAGAGAAACATATTCTTCATGACCAAAGTTGAAATTGAAATAAAAAAGGAAAGTGAAACTTATGCTCGTCACCCTCTCCCTCCGGTCCACATTAATACAAATGATCCCAATACATATGATTGTATGAAAAGATCTTAAAATCAATACAAATGTATTTATTATAAACGTTAGTCCTTAACATCTATCACTGTGTATATCACCATTCAAACATCTTTTAAAAGTTGAACAAACCCCACACAGCTCAGTAAAGACTGTGAAATGTTGACTTTATTTGATCATTTCAGTAAAAACTAACGTTCATATTTCTCTTTTTGATTATAATACTGATGAACGTTCAAAACAAAGCACTTTGGCAACTTACCACATACGTTTTAAAATGCTTAATAAGCACCGTAACTTTCATGATATCATTTCTCGTTCATAATCGGTTGTTTCCGTGAACGGCCGACTGTTGTGTGACGGCAAATGCTGCGGCCGCAAGGCATTGTGGGGCAGCATTTTCTCCTCTCCTTTCGGTTAGGGAGGTCAAGTGGTTCCTAGGCTAAAGGAGGTTATAAAGGAAGTTTGAAACCTCCTTTCCTTTTAATTTAGAGAATTCGAACGGCACTTATCATGGCTGCCACTGAGGGACTTCCGGGTCATTTCACTCCGTTAGGAAGGTTCCTAAGCTAAATGGACTATTCGAATGCAACCACGGTTTATTTGGTTTCCTTCCAGATTGCTTCTGAGGAAACACCGAGAGTCCGTCCCTCTAACCGGTCCCCGGAACACAAACGTTCCGCCATACTACTAAATGCATTGCTCAACCCCATTAATGAAATTAAAATAGCCAGATGTACAAAATAAAGGCATATTCTAACTCTAAATAATAATAATAATAATAATATTAATGTGGTCACACATCCCAGGGGTGCCACACGTACATACTAAAAAATACTCACAAATACGTTCTTTATCTACTTCTGTTGATTATTTACAGCTTGAGCGGACATAACAGAACTGCAGTGTGGCTGACTTTTTTATTCTTATCACCGTGTTTTCCTGATATCTGCCCTCTTACCTAGCACCCAGTTTGGTGACCTTGTTTAGCCTATTGCATTTCTTCATGTCTTATGTAAGAGGCCTTAGTATGACCTTCTTCAGAAGCTCCAGATGTCGTGGGAGATTTCCTCCTTTAGGGTTTTACAGATGTTACCATTATATTGTTTTTTTTTAAATGTCCTAAAAATCCATGCGTGCCTTTAAGAAACCCCAGGGGGAAACAAGGCACAATTAACAATAAATACCTTGCAGACCCACAACAATATTGAATGCGTCTCCTCGTACAATTACAGTATATAAGACATTTATTTAAAAGAAACAACACGATCTACAGAGACCCTGAATCCCTGATAATACAGTTTTTGTTGTTACCTTAAACCTCCACCTAACCTGAAAATAATCAAATGGCAGACCACAACTAAGCGAAACATCCATATGATTTTAAGTAAGTTGTTAGAGACCAAAGCAGACATCAAGGGTGCATGTATATTGGTCTGAAATTGAAAATACCAATAAATGCTAATATAGCTCTAATTCTGCTGGACGTGCAATGTAGATAGGCAACATCTCCTAAACATTAGCAATTACATCATCGCTGTCGTCTTATTCTGCTCCAAGAAATATTTATAAATTAATATTTTCTAATATTTCTGGAAATTGTGTTGATGAGGTGTATCACTCTTCACGTAAAGTGGCACAGATTTGGTAGGGTTGGGGTGAGAGGGTGATGCTGAAACGGGGCTTGAACACAGCCTCCACACCCGGAGGCATGGAGAAGGTGAAGCGCTGCAGGAAGGAGGTGAAGAGGAGGAAGAGCTCCATCCTGGCCAGGTTCTCCCCGAGACACACCCGCTTACCTGCGGCAAAACACAAAAACATAATCAGAGAAATGCAAATACATAAGTAAAAAAAAGAAACAATTTATCATCTGAGCCATCTTCACCTGAGACGATTCATGCACTTCTATAATATTAGAAATGTTGTGAAAAGGTACTTGCCCACAGAGAAAGGGATGAAAGCAGCTCGCTGCACAAACTTCCCCTCCTTGTTCAGAAAGTGTCCTGGGTTGAAGGTGTTGGGCGTCTCCCACTCATTCTTGTCAAACAGCACCGAGGTCAGGTTGGGCATTACCATAACTCCCTGGTAATTGGAACCATAATGGTAATTTATGAAGATGCAACATGGTTGTTCAATTTGTGTAAATATTGAATTAGAGAACTGACCTTTGGGATTGTGTAGCCTCCTATCTGAACGTCCCTGTTGGTCACATGAGGCAGGTTGAGAGGAACTACGTTTCCAATTCTCTGGATCTCGTGTATGACGGCGTCAGTGTAGGGCATGTTTGGACGATCTTCCATGGACGGCTCTCTGGACTGTCCAATCACGCTGTCTATCTCCTCCTGGACCTTCTCTGTGCAACAGGAGAGCCAAATGAATGGAAGACAAGACACACGAAACAATATAACTTATGATGATTTCTTGTCCTCGTGTGTGAGCTCATACCCTGAATCTCGGTGTACTTTGCCATGTAGAGCACACCCCAGCGCAGGGTGGTGGAGGTGGTCTCAGTGCCAGCTCCAAACAGATCAAACGAACACATCACCAGGTTGCCTTCATCAAAACAAGCGTTTGGCTCATCATCCCTCTTGTCCTGATGCTGAACATTTTGAAAATGCACTTGTGATGTCAATTTAAAGGTACAGTTTACAAACAAATGTCTAGTGTGGGGGGAAGGCAGGGAAATAAATTGATTATTAAACAATAATAATATTAAGTCCAACTAAGAGTGCTTCTAATGATTGGATTTTCTTTTTTGTTGTCAATTTATTTTTATAACAGCTTTTATAATATTGTTTTCAATATTTGGTAACATTTTCTTCTCTTACTATGTTCATGTTTGTATTATTATATACCAAAGCAAATTCAATAATAAGTAAACTGAATTTTGACTTTGAATAATCTCTTATTTTATGCTTTTGTTGCCAAAAGAAATGTGTGAAACTTTCTAAATTATGCAACAAAGGATTATTTAAATTATTAATTAATTTTATGAGTATTTCTTGCATTTGATAATCATTTGGTCTATACTTTAAAATTTCAGAATATAGTGGCAAAATCACAATGACGATTTCCGAAAGAAACATATTTTTCTTCACCCAAAAAAACAAATATGATCAATTAAGCTAGTATCTGGTTGATTTCCTCGTAGTTTGTCCACTAACCTTCTGAATCTCAGTCAGGTAACAGTCGATGAAGTCTCGGGGATCAGAGGGGTTCCAGTCTTCCCTGTGCTTATTAATTTCTGTTTTCATCAAGTCCATTATATCACCATAAACCTTTTGAAGAGTGTGGTGTGGCCCCGGCAAACGCCTCATCAGCACAGGAAAGGCGTTGTACAGCTGTTGATATCATTATCATACAGTGTAAATAAGACTTAGAACAAATGTGTATCAAAGAGCAAACACTCAATTCTATCAGAGACTTAATACGATCAAAGAGTGTCCAGATGCAGGAACAAGACCAGTACACTGAATTAAGATTTCAATAGTCTTGAAAGGATGTACCTGTGCCCAAATGGATCCTTCAATCTGGACCCCTTTGTCCAACAACGTTATCAACTGCAGAAACTTCTCATCCTTGTAGTCAAAGCGATGGCCAAAGATCAGGGAGCAGATGATGTTGGAGACGGCGTTGTTCATTAAAAAATGTAGATTGAAGGGTTTGCCTGGACAGTTGATCAAACATATCAAAATGAAAAGTGAGTAGCATGATCAGTAATAGGCTTTTTTCTGTATTCTCAATACCTTTAGACATTTGTACACTTTACCTTTATGACTAGCGATTTCTTTGGACATGTACCTAAATTCCTCCAGTATGGAAGATTCAAGAGACTTCTTGCCAACGCCAAAGTATTTGAGAGTGGAGAGGGCAAACCGCCTTTGTTGCTTCCACGAATACCCATTAGCAAAAATAATACCTGATGAGAAAATGTGAATTTAGATAAAAACTTTAGAAATGCAGCTTGTGACATAAGTGAGACACATAATATGAATCAGTCTGTATGTAGAAGTAAAAACATCTTTAAGTTTATATCCAATTTAACAAATAAAAAACATCAACAACATATTTTAACACTTAGATCCATTTGCAATAGTGGGACATCAAATGTATTATCAAAATAATGCCTGTCACTATTCTTCACACACCATGATTCAAGGCTTTTAACGTCATGTGTGCATAGCTACAGTGTAGTTATGACAATGAAAATCTTAGGTCACAGGCTCCTCCAACAGAGAAACACAATAAAACAGATAAAATAGTGCAAGTAAAAAAAACAAAATAGAATATAATAGAAATAGTGCAGAATAGTCTATATACAAGTAATTGGAATATCGATATATATAAGTTGCAAACAGATGAATGTTATGGATGTTCTTTCAAAAGTTCAGGTGTTTAACAGTCTTATGAGTATAATAAAACTTCTGCGAACAGTAAATAAAACTAGAGAATGCAATTCCTGAAGAAATTGCAAGTGGGAATGCTTGATGCTGAAAAGCTGACGCTAAACTGCTATGCTGAAATGTAATGTGTGAGAAGAAAGTTAATAATTTAGATTAAAATGATACATGCACACTGGGGGCTTGAATGTGTGATAAGAGAAGAAAAGAAAGTAAAAAGGCTTGGAAAAGCAGCAGAATATTTGAACTGCAAACTTTTGAACTAACTTGATGGCGAATGATCTGTTGCCATGCCAACGGCATTGGATGACATCCCATAATACGCTTAGATGCGTTGATGGCTGCATCGTTACCAAACCTGTGACGTTTTGGGCCGTTTGGAGCATTTTCACTGAAGTTATGAGAAAACCGTGTTTCATGGCGAGGGATGCGTACATTACTTAACATCAGATTTGATGTAGAGCTGTGTTAACCATTATCTGAAGTCTGCTGCTCTGAGCATGTCAGTTGGAGTTATGACATCATCGTGTGCACAGGTGTTTATATTTGAGCTAACGACGTATCCAGAGATCAAAGGTTTCCATGGTGATGTCCAGTAATCAGTGAGAGGAGAGCATTTGCATTGTTCTGAATGAGAGATAAACCTCTTACATGTGAACGTTTTGTTGAAGAACCGTAACAGATATCGGTGAAATTTCAAAGCGTGAATCATGTCAAGGAAATTGAGCATCTGAAGTGTACTTTTTGTGTACTTTCGGGTTAATAATGTGGCCTTTTTGGCAGATTAACTAAAGGTGTGCGGCTGCTGTGGTGGGGAAAGGTGAGGCTGAACTTACAATGGTGTGGAGACATGTTGAAGGTTTTTGTCACTTAATGCCCTCAAGAGGCATTTTGTTTAATTACTTTGCTTGATTCTTTTTTTATCTTTCAAGCTACGAGATGTTTTCCTACGTTTGTCATGAAAAATTATGTCTCAGGAATGTAGGGTTTGGGAATTATGGCAGGTTTAAAAGAAAATATGAAGGCAAAATTAAATCTGTCCTCCACTCTAGCTGTGACATCACGCACTCTAAAATCTGAAGAAGGCCTCTTTACCAAGGTCTGAACAATGTTTAATATCTCTAAAAGTAAGAATCAGATTTAAAAGTTGTGTTACACGAATGTCAGAAAGATGTGTGACATTTTAAAGTTGGAATGAGGTTTCTGAGTGAAAGTATGAATGAACAGTTTGCAGTTGAAGTTGCATGAAGATTGTTGAAGTCTGAAGAGTTTCTCCATTGACTTCCATGTTAAAAATGTGATGAATTATGGGATGTATCTCTGGAATTATGAAAGTTATGAATGATAAAAAGTAATAGCCATCGATTCCCGACCGAGCTGAACATTTTGATGTTTGAACAGAGTTTCTGCGATGTTCAATGTGGGAGAAGAAGAGGCGCAAAATAACCCGGCGGAATAATAAAGAATTGTGTGCGTAGCATAACAGATAGTTGGAATGCTGTATCAGCATTCCCACTAAACAAATATTGTAGAAGCACAGAAACAGTGTTCAAATTTTGCTTTTACAGACTTATTTTGGTTGTGCGTACCTTGCAAAGTAATGTTATAAGTGTCAAAGGAATGTTTTAATGTACTGTAAATACATCAGATTTTAGGATAATTCATTAATTATCAGTAAGTTCTAATCAAATCTATGACTTGATTTCTCTCTAAAAAGGCAGTGTAAAAATCAATTGTAAAAATATGAACCACACCGCTGCTAACTGATAATGAAAGCATCCGTGTAAATATACGTATTATTAGTACACGTAAAATAATTGATGAGGTAGGTAACCTCCCTCCTCCAAGGATAGAAAAAGTGCTTTACCTAGATCAGGCAACACATCCGTATGGATGGGGAAAGCAGGGCGGTCGGTCATGTGATCTCCTTTGCTGAGACCCTCCTGCAGAGTGCTGAAGCCGTTCAACACCACCGTCCACACAGGGCCCATCTTCAGGCTGTACACGTTCCCATACTGCTCTGCCAACTGTGGGAGGGAGAACACAAGTGAGTGGGAGGAAAGCAAATAGGAAACTTTTACCTTGAATTTTTTTTAAATGCCCAAAGACAGGAGAAATACATAAATAACATAACAATTACTTTTTATGAATGTTTATTTGTTTTTGTGTTTTTTAGTTTTTCAAAAGCTTTAATGTCAGGTGACCCAGTGAGAAATACAATACAGCATCGTATTACTACATTGGACAAGTAGGACAAACCTCTTTTTATTGTATTTTAGAGGTTCTATTTTATACGATTATCGTCAGTAAAATTCAGCAGTTTTATATTGAAAAGTCTTGATTTTCCTCAAAAATTTCCATATCCTCTGACTTAATGAATCCAAAACCAATGCAGCATTGTATTATTACACTGGAGCAGTAGGACACACCCCTTTATATTGGATTTCAGTGCTGAAAAACTATTAAAAGCTATTTATATTTCTTATAGATTCCTTATCATAATGACGCCACGTCAATGTCCAATTGTATTGTATTGCACTGGCCAAGTGGGACACAGCTGTCTTTATTGGATTTCAAACCGCCTCTTAAATTACCTTTATAAAAATCAGCACAATTTAATTGAGAGCTATTTTTCAGCATTGCATTGCTACACTAGACGAGAGGGGCACATGTATTTTTATTGGATTGCAGTCAAACTTCTATTTCATATGAATATCTTCAAGAAAAAAAGGTTCATACAAATATTTATCGAAAATAGAAGCGGGACTAAAACACGATAAAACAGGTGTGTCCTTTTGTTTAGTGTAGTAATACAATGCTCCATGTACTGTCATGTGCCATGGAAGCTATTGAAAGAATCCGATAGATTATAAAAAAGAAAACAACTTCATAACAATATGTATAAAATAGAGAAGATGCACTCAAATATAATTAAAAAAATGTGTGTCTTATGAGTCCATTGTAGTAATAATATCTGAAATGGATTTTCAAGACATAGAAGCTATTGAAAAAACTTAAATATCTTTGTAAAAGAAAATCATTACATCAGTAATCAAAAAAGTTAATGATATAATTATATGCATAAGACATATTTATTAAAATCAAGAGCATATTTTTTTACTAATATGGTCATTTCACTATGGAGGTAAAAATTACATTGTTTTCTTGTCATTAGAACGATCATTTGTTGATGATCCCTAAGTGAAACCCTGTAGACAGCCGTCTGTGAAACTCAACCGGAGTAAATGTCTGTCTAACTGTTAGTGGGTTTTTTAAGGTTAGATGTTAGACTCTAAAATAGAGAAGATGCACTCTGCAAACTGAACCGGAGTAAATGTCTGTCTAACATCTAACCTTAAAAAAACCACTAAAGGTTAATGACTGTTATCTGATTTTTTCTCCGCAATAAACATAAACGGATTGCAGTCCTACCTTGGTCATGTCGTTGTGGAGATTGTTGAAGTCAAGAGAGAGAATATTCCCAACCAGAGGAAGAGCCCAGGGTCCTGGGGGAAAGCTTCTGGGCCGACGGGACCTCAGACCCAGGGCCACCAGCAGGAGGACCAGGGTGAAGAGGAGCAGGCTGCGGCTGTCCAGACACACGGAGAAAGCCCAGGGTAGATCCATCCTTACATTTAACAGCTTCTGTAACCACTCGGGTTTGGTTGTATTCGCTTCAGAGTTTTATCAAAGAGACATCATGCAGGCTACACCTCTTTAGGGTTAAGGACTGGTTCGCTGTTTGATTCCTGGCCAAAAGAGGCGGTGTCATTTCAGGTGAAACACAGGTACTACGTTTCTCCAACATAAACACTTTGAAAGCACATTTGAGGTGGGAGAAGTACTCAGATCTTGCACTTAAGTAAAGTAAATGTACTTTATAAACCACTGCATTTGACACACATTTTGTGACATCACAATATGTTTTAATAAAGAGTTTCTTTTAAATAACTCCGTGACCTTTATCATGATTTTGTATTATATAACAGTTATGTAATCCTTTGTACTTATCCTCTATTCCCCCAGGGTTTTTGCACAAGAGAAAAGATGAATACCCCACCTAATGTTCAATAATTGAGTCAATATCAGAACATGTAATTCAAAGTATTTAGATCAGGTATCACACAAATGCTTGCTTATCATATATTAGATGCATCTGATTAAATATATATTCAGTATCCAAAAATAAAGGCATTATGTCCTCAGTGTTTATTCACATATTTTAATTAACCTACAATGAAACCTCCATATCCTCTTGGCCACATGTTCCAAAAGGTACATTGGCATGTGACATCCAATATGTAACCTGATTTAAATATATCACACTTTTCAAAAGTTAAAGAAAGAAAGTAAGAGGAGCATTTCAATAATGTAAATGCATAACATATTCACAGTTAGTATTCTGAAATTCAAAACAGTCTTTCCTTCTCTGGGATTTTGATATTCAATAACAACATTTCTGCGCTTAACATTTTTTTATTTTATAATCTGCCTTTTCATGCTATAAGAAATGTTCAAGGTGGGCAATAGACAAAGTGACATGTCATGTTTGCAACTTGAAAATTAGCCATGGCTTAGCTAAACTACCCTTAAAAACGAGAGGTCTCACAACATTTGAATCTTGAAAGTTAATTTGTTTATAAGTATTTCATATGTCAGAGCTATTATTAATGGGAAGTTGCGCAGAGTTCATGTGAACGAGGGCACAGAGTGACGCCGTACTGAAAATCCATCTCAGGCTTCACACCAGCAGGCGTAGAGAAGGTGAAGCGTTGCATGAAAGAGACGAAGAAGAGGAAAAGCTCCATCTTGGCCAAACTCTCCCCGGGACACAACCGCTTACCTGAGAGGGAGAAACCAAAATCCAAAAAGCATTAGTCTCCATTGTTAGGCTCTGCTGGTGCCCACTAGCAGGGAAACATTTGAGAGGAACAGTTCCCACCCCTGATCTTTGTAATTCCCCCTACTGGAATATAGTATAATATTATAGGTTGTCCTCTTCTATCCTCTTCTAGGACAGCCTGCAATCATTATCTAAGGAGGACTGTGGGGTCCCAGTGAATGCTACGACAAGTTATATGCTCATGCACAAACAGTTAAACCTGTTGAACCCCATCCCTGTTTTTCAGGTCTCAGGCTCGAAAATGACATTTCCAGAACAAATTACCATAACTACACTTCTAAAAGGGGAAAATTAATAATCTTTTTTCTCAAAGTAATGATAAACCTGTGAGTTGGATGTATTCTTTTTTACTTATAGTGAAAACCACCCTTGAATGATGGGATGGTAGACTAAAAGCTTTAGGAATCCAAAGTACAACATATAATAAGTACTGTACCCTGTATCAAGATTGATGCAAAACAAGTGAAATTTGACCTTTTTAGAGAGGTTTAGCAAAAAGAACTCCACCTCTGGGGTGATTTGGGTGGAAATGGGCGTTTTTGCCGTTTCTCTGGAACACATTGGTCGATTTTGGTGATTGACATCTCTTTTGAACCGTTAGAGCCAATAGAATCGAAGGGGAATTTCCACATACACAAACACGTTAACAAAAAGCATGCAGTTTTGGCCAGAGCGAACCTATCTCTCGCTCTGACATCTGAAAATGTAAAAGTCGGTTTATTGCTTATGGATTATCAGAAATCATTTCAAAGGGACACAGTCACATTGGATTAACCTATGGATTAACCTTCAGCAGCGTTTTTATAGTTTTAATGCCATTGAAGACCACTTTTGACCAGACAACGACAAAGGTAAGCCATTTTGCCGTTTTAGCTACCTTGCGCCACATGTTTTGATGTCTGTTTTTGTTTATGAGTCATGAGTTCTTATCATGGAGTGATAATGTAGGTACCGATCGATTCTGTGTCTTCTCACGATGCTAATCGATGGGTTGGATGTGCAGCTACGATAAGTAATAAGGGTGTTATGAGTGAGTTTCTGTGCAGTAAAGCGTTAGCATTTCCTCGCTCGTGGCTAATTTAGAGGCTCAGCGCTAGCTTTGTGGGTTTAAAAAAAAAAGAAAAAAAAAAGATCAGTTAGCTGAGTTTCTTCCCGTTACATGGATATAAAACATTCATAGTTTATTAAATATTAAGAAGCCCTCAGACGCTGTTTCCTGCAGATGATGCGTTTTGCGGGGGGATGGGGTTCAACAGGTTAAAGGTCCCCTATTGTACTGTTTTTCATCAATATATTACACAGAGGGGACACATGTTTATGTATAAGAGACATTAAAAAGTGGATTTTGTATAATAGGTAACCTTTAAAGAAGCTAATAAAACCGGAAATTGTGTTGCTCCTCACCAGCAGAAAATGGGATGAAAGCAGCTCGCTTCACACACTTCCCCTCCTTGTTCAGAAAGTGTCGGCAGTCTCCCACTCATTCTTATCGTACAGCGCTGATGTCAGATTGGGGATTATTGTGACTCCCTGGTGAGTGGAATCATAATGACAATTAATAAAGATGCAACAATGCTTTGTGTGCCTTACACATTGCATATTATAACTGACCTTTGGGATTGTGTAGCTTCCTAGCTGGATCTCCCTATTGGTGAAATGAGGCAGACTGAGAGGAATTACGTTGCCCATCCTTTGGATCTCGTGTATGACGGCATCAGTGTAAGGTAGGTTTGGACGATCTTCCATAGACGGCGGTCTGGACTCTCCAATCACTCCGTCTATCTCAGCCTGGACCTTTGCTGTGGAATAGGATGGGAACAGGCCGACGTTGAAACATTAACATGCTGGAATAGAACATTTTATAGACCAGCGGTTCCCAACCTGTTGGCCGTGGTTCCCTAGTGGGCCGCGAAGGCATTGCAAGTGGACCGCCAAATAATTTGAAAACATTATCATTTGTGTGGAAACATTTCATTATTAAGATTTTTTTTATTTGAACATCTTTTCCTTTCTCTTTCTTGATCCTCCTTAGCAACGGGCATTACAGTCCTTGACAGCGCTCTGTACTACTGGATTAACGTGTCACATGTTCTGAATTGACCAATCAGAACTTTATTTAGCCTCCGTATTGTTTATGGTTGAATGTGGGCCGCAAACATTTTATTCATATGTGGGCCCTGAGTTGAAGAAGGTTGGGAACTGCTGTTATAGACACTTTCCATTCTGTCTGTTGTGATTTTAATTTGATTAGATTTTTACTCCAACCAACATTACATATCTTTGTATTGTCATATCATCACACATTTGGACATAATTAAGTAAGTACAAAAAATGTGTTGACTTAGTTAGTGCTTTTACCCTGCATCTCAGGGTACTTTGCCATGTAGAGGAAACCCCAGCGCAGGGTGGTTGAAGTGGTCTCAGATCCAGCCACAAACAGATCCATGACCATGACACACATAACCAGGTTTTCATCATGAAAAGCATCTTCAGCCTGCACCTTACCCTAAGATATGCATACACATGTGTTGATATATGCTAACAACTTTACAATTACAACACATTAACATCTGATACAGTAGTTCAAAGGTGCAAAACAATCGGATATGATGTAAACAGGAATTAAACAACAAGCATTTTTATGAACAACACATTATAAGAATAACAAAGCTACATTTAGAGAAACTCACCATTTGAATCTCGTTCAGGAAGCAGTCGATGTAGTCTCTTGGGTCTGAGGGATCCCAGTTCTGTTTGTGCTTCTTAATCTCTACTCTTATGAAGTCCTTCACATCGTTCAACATGTGCTGGACTGTCTGATGAGGCCCTGGCAGACGTCTCATCAGCCGAGGGAACGAGTTGAAGAGCTGCAGAGTAGAGCAGATTGGAAAAAACACTGCATATTGATAAGGCATTTCAGATGGTGTTTTTACTGTAAATAATGGAAAAATCATACAAATTGATTATTTTGCAACATGTGCATTCTTTATGTTGAGCTTTTTATTAGATACCTGTGCAAATAGGCATGAATGATAAACTCTCACAATGAGGAATGTCTGGCACAAAATAGGTACACAGCATAATGATGTAATCAATTATAAAATGGAAAATACTGTACCTGTGCCCAAATAGAGGCTTGAATCTGGAGACTTTTGCCAAACAACTCCATCAATTGCATGAACTTTTTATTACTGTACTCAAAGCGATGACCAAAAACCAGCCAGCAGATGATGTTGGAGACAGCGTTGTTGATGAAAAGGTGTGGTTTGAATGGCTTGCCTTCACAGTTAAACAGAACATTCCATGTAAATTGCATATTTATAAATGTGCATAATATTGCACATCAGTGTCATTGTGCGTTTATTTTGTACCTTCATAGCTTTTGAAGACTTTTGCGCAATATGTGAATTCATCCAAGATGACTGCTTCAATGGACTTCTTGCCGAATCCAAAATTACGAAGGGTTGAAAGTGCGAAGCGTCTCTGTTGCTGCCACGAGTTCCCATTACTGAAAAGTAACCCTGATGGGTAAAACACCAAAATAAGTTAAACATGAAGTACATACAAATCTGAAAAGTTGATAAATAGTTAGGAGACTGTATATATATATGTGTGTGTGTGTGTGTGTGTGTGTGTGTGTGTGTGTGTGTGAAACGTCCTCTCACCTAGTCCACTAGTTATGTCTTGTACCAGAGGAAGTTCTGGGCGGTCTACCAGGCTGTCTTTTTGATTAATCAAAGCTTCTTTTAAAACCTCAAACCTGTTTAACAAAACCACCCACGCCTGGCCCATTCGCAGGCTGTACACATCTCCATATTTCCCTGCTAGCTGTGAGAGAAGAGGAAGAGCATGATGCTTCATATAACAGAAATCACAAACAGAACTATAAGCTGCATCTTTAATATTTGATCGATCTACCTCCGTCATAAATTCATGGTTCCTGCTGTAATCCAAAGTGAATATGTTGCCCACAATGGGAAATGCCCTTGGTCCTGGAGGGAAGCTGCCTGGCTGACGGTTCTTGAAGTAATCCGCAGTGAGGATGAAGATTACAGAGAAGAGCAGCAGGCTGTTAACATCCCAGTCAACATAGGACCCAAATACAGAAATGATTGAATCCATTTGCTTGCAGGGTCCGAGCCTTTGTAACTGAATCCTGTGTTTCCTTGCTTCTCTGAAATAAAGGCTGTTTTTTAATTGCCAGGACCTATTAATATAATGTACCCTTACCTTGATGTTATTGACTTTTTGCAACAAAGCAAATAACTACTGGTTGCTCTGGACCTTGCCCTCTTTATACATAAAGATGGTATCAAAAACTGTTAATCAGTGACCCTTAAATTATTCAAATTTTGCAGATAGGAATATTATTTTTTGTATCATGTAAATCTGGCAAGTGAAATCTTATTAGATTCACGATAATTAGACAGGCAGATTTAAATACCCTTATTCCCCACATCCCAAACACCTTACTAAGGTAATGTACTGTAGACCAACCCACAAGAACATTAGTGAGGACATGCACTGATAATGGTCGATAAGACCTGGGACACAGTCTGTGTTCGAGTTCATCCAAAAGGGGTTGGGAAAGAGTCAAGTCATGGTTCAGCATTTAGATTTTTAGAACACCAGAATGGGTAAAAACATTTTATTACGGACCTCATTATAATGTTAAAATAAGAAAGCACTTCCCAATTACTTAAGTTGGAAACAAGATTTGTAGTATTGTTTATTTGGTCCAATCAACAGTCAAAAACACAAAGATAAAAATCTCACAGCCCGGACCTTTCACAAACAGAATTGCTCTGAGCTTAACTACAATTGCATTTGTAAAATCATTAGACATCCTGCAAAATACTATATAAAGCCTACTGTATAATCTAATCAGTAACCTAGAATGTATCTTCAGATTTCCCAAAACAAAAGGTAAGTTATAGAAAGTGGATCAATGTCCTCTTGGACATGTAGAGATTCAAAATGTAATTTTACTATATTTATGATAAAAGAAAAATAGTTTTTGTAAAATCCTAGCGTGAGGTTATACAGATTTCATATTCAACGGGTGCTAGAGTAATGCCAAAGCGAAAATCCAATACAGGTTTCACCCCAGCAGGCATGGAGAAGTTAAAGTGCTGCATGAAGGATGTGAAGAACAGGAAAAGCTCCATCTTTGCCAGGTTCTCCCCGAGACACTGCCGTTTACCTGAAAAAGGGAAACAATCAGAACATTTCTTAGACATACGGTTTTGGCCTGGAGGTCAAAGGTAATAAAGAATACAGTATTCATTATTCTGACGATGGCACTTCCTCTGTTCACATCCAATCTCAAAGATGCACATAAAGGATAATGTGGTGGGGGTCTGTGTCAGAACTTTGTCAACTTCTTACTGGGGTCCCTCAGGGTGCCGTCCTGGGTCCACCCCTCTTTCCTCTTAACACCAATTCCCTTGGCTGTGTCATTGCTTCTCCTACCACAGCTATGCAGATGACACTCAACAGATACTGCCTTTCCCCGGACTGAATCCCAAGTGGTCGCAAAGATCTCTGTTGGTCTGGCTGACATCTCTCAGATGATGTCCTTGCACCACTTGAAGCTCAACCTCGTCAAGACAAAATTGCTTTTTCTTACTATCAACATTGACACTTGTGTTGTGTCCACAAATCAGACTGCAATGAATCTACAACATCAAGATGACATGTCCCTTTCAGACAGAAGGAGACGCAGGTTCTTGTTAATGTTCTTGTCATCTGACGTCTGGACTACTGCAACTCCCTCCTGGTTGGTCTACCTCCCAAACCACACCGCTCCTCCCCTCCTGTTCACCTGGCACTGGCACCAGCTTATCATGCTGTCAGTGGATCAAGCCTATCCTACATCCAGAACATGGTTAAAGCAAACACCAAAGACCTATCGGCTCCCTAGCTATAACATTGTATGTGTTCTCTTCTAGATGGTGACAGTTTCTACCAGGACAAACTGCAATCATTATGCAAAGGAAGAACATAGGGTTCCAGTGTATGACAGGATAGGCTCCTGTATAAACATGTAGAGACAATTCAAAAGCAAGAACTGGTATTGCTTCTCACCGGCAGAGAACGGAATGAAAGCAGCTTGCTTCACAAACTTTCCCTCCTTGTTCAGAAAGTGTCCTGGGTTGAAGGTGTTTGGCGTCTCCCATTCATTCTTGTCGTACAGCACCGAGGTCAGATTGGGGATTATAGTTACTCCCTGTTGAATTGGAAATGAAATGACAATTCGCAAAGATACAACATAGTCATGTGACATACGATTGCATTCAAGAACTGACCTTTGGGATTGTGTAGCCTCCCAGCTGGACGTCCCTGTTGGTAACATGAGGCAGGTTGAGAGGAAGTATGTTACCCATCCTCTGGATCTCGTGTATGACGGCGTCAGTGTAGGGCAGGTTAGCACGATCTTCCATGGAGGGCTGTCTGGACTGTCCAATCACTCTGTCTATCTCAGCCTGGACCTTTGCTGTGGAACAGGAGGGGAACAGGCAGACGTTACAGAATTTGTAGCATAAATATTTTATCAAGATGAGGCCCTGTTTATTTGCAAACTTGAATCAGTCATAAGAGAAAATACTATAAGTTGTAGATGTTTGTTGCATAGCGATACATCTAAAGGACACCCTTTGTCCCCTTGGAGAAAAAGCAGTTACATGATGTTTGTAATTATTTAGCCCTTCAAAATGCATCAAAACAAAGAACTCAGTTGGCTGTGTCAATGCTCTTACTCTGCATCTCAGGGTACTTTGCCATGAAGAGGAAAGCCCATCGCAGGGTAGTGGAGGTTGTCTCAGATCCAGCCAGAAACAGATCCCAGGCAGACCCAACCAGATTTTCCTCATCAAAGGTATTGTCAGCCTGCCCCTTGCCCTAATTATATACGGGAATGCATGTGTTAAAACATGACGCAAATTAATTTGGAACATCTACATGGCTGTAACAGCAAAGGTTATTGTATGTTATTATGGTTACAGGTAAGTAAAGCAAAAATATATATTCTTGACCTTGTACCTTGATAATTAGAAGGCATGGCTTTGTTTGATCAAAAGGAGTGTATGCTGTTAATGATAGGGTAATAAAAGATAGGGCTATAAGGTAGAGGCCATTGCAGAAGTGCATATCAGGTCTTTGATTTGTTCACATACCAGCCAGGAGTAATTTTGCAATGAAATGTTGTGTCAGTGTTGTGGCAATTTAGCACTCACAACAGGAAAGAATAAAACAGAGAGGAATCAATAAAACACAAACACAAATATAGTTGATCAATTATTATTTCGTTGTACAACAATCAATAATAACGAGGAAAACATTACCTCTGCTCTCAAGCAGTCCTACAGCAATGCTCTCAAACAGTAGAACTTTACAGAAACATATATAGGACTCCTGACATGACGCACACACATTTCCTTACATTAGCTAACACACAATATCACATGTTCTGCCTCTGAATGCTATACTTGTATGTTCCAGATGTTGAAAGTTTACTTATCTCATGACATCCTTTAGGAGTAGTCAACTAACAAAGGTGAACTGTTTTTATAACCTAAGGCCTTCTCTGAACTTCCTCCAACCTCAATGTCAGCTCACTTAAAATGAATACATCTATTGATAATTCAGAATGACCATTGTCTCTCTAACTCTGTGTGACCCAACTCCGTAACACACATCATATGGCTTAACATGTGACATTAAATGAATATACTAGAATTACGCTGTATTAAACATTCTGCTATAACATCAGTACAACACAAAAACAGTTGATAGTGCTGATGGTGGTGCAAAACAAGCAGATAAGATGTATACAGGAACTCAGCAATGTTCATCTTAGTACCAAGTACCTTCTGAATCTCGTTCAGGAAGCAGTCAATGTAGTCTCTTGGGTCTGAGGGATCCCAGTTTTGTTTGTGCTTCTTAATCTCTACTCTTATGAAGTCCTTCACATCGTCCCAGATGTGCTGGACTGTCTGATGAGGCCCTGGCAAACATCTCATCAACCGAGGGAACGAGTTGTAAAGCTGCAGAGTGGAGCAGATCAGGACAGTAACATGACAAGGCATTTCAGAAAAATATGTTCTGCTAAAAAACATGTTAACATGTTGAAGCCAATGGCCTGAATCATGATGAGGAGTGTCGTACAACACAGCATTACAATATTATCAATAGTTTTAAAATGCTGTACCTGTGTCCAAATGGTGCCTTCAATCTCGAGACCTTTGTCAAACCACTCCATCAGTTTTGTAAATTCCTTATCACCATACTCAAAGCGATGACCAAAAACAAGGGAACAAATGATGTTGGAGACGACGTTGTTGATGAGGAGATGTGGATTGAATGGCTTTCCTTCAAAGTTTATCAGAACATTTAATGTAAATTACACATTTGGTGTAAGGCAGAGGCCATGGCAAATGTGCACATCAGTGTATCATTCTTCAATTGTCCTTATGCTTTCATTTTTACCATTGTAGCTTTTGATGTCTTTTGCACAATACGAAAATTCATCCAAGATGATGGGCTCAAGGGACTTCTTGCCAAATCCAAAATATTTGAGGGTTGAAAGTGCAAAACGCCTCTGCTGCTTCCATGTGTTGCCATTACTGAAAGCAATACCTGATGGGAAACACAAGCAGATTAAGAAAACCTTAAAAAAATCAAAAAAACATATTAGTTTAATTTAGCTTTCATTACATTTTAAATTCTTTATTTATATTAAATTACACAGAAAGAGATCAAAAGAAGAAACAAAAAGGTTCATAATTATTTGACAAAACTCCTCAGTAGAAAAAACACATCTCTAGTTCATTTAGTGTGTAAAAGTATGAACACATGCAAACTATAAAACTGATTGAGGGAGAAACTGATGCAACACACAGTGTAATAATTCAACAATTTATCACAGTATCACAGGAATTAAATATACACGGTGTGTGTGTGTGTGTGTGTGTGTGTGTGTGTGTGTGTGTGTGTGTGTCTCACCTAGTCCAGAGGACATGTCAACGAACAAAGGGAGGTCCGGGCGGTCTGATAGACTGTCTCCCTGAGTAACCAGAGCTTCTTTCAGAACCTCAAACCTGTTTAACACCACCATCCATGACTGACCCATTCTCAGGCTGTACACATCTCCATATGTCCCTGCTAACTGTGAGAAGATGTCAGAGAAGAGGAAGAGAATAATGCTTCATATAACCAATAACACATTTTAATGTTTTGCACCTGCTGTTTTACCTCTGTCATACTCTCATGGGTCCTTTGGTAATCCACAGAGAACATGTTGCCCACAATAGGAAGTCCCCGGGGTCCTGGAGGGAAGCTGCCTGACCGACGGTTCTTGAAATAATCGGCGGTGAGGATAAAGATTACAGAGAAGAGCAGAAGGCTTTTGACATCCCAGTTCAGATAGGAACCGAGTACAGAAAGGATTGAATCCATTCTGCAAATCAAGGGCTCAAGCCTGTCTAACTGAAGCCTGGGGTTTCTTTGTTTTGACTGTCACATAAAATGCTGTTTCTGTTGCAGAGAGCTATCACCTCTCGTGAAACTTGGCTCATGGCAGCCCAGCAATTGCCTAGAGGAAAAACTGGACTTTGCCCCCTTGATACTGTCACGGCCCAAACTGTGTCCCTGTGTGTCCCTGTTTGTTCCCCTATGTGTGTGAAGGGGGTGTGGTTTCCCTTGCAGGCAGCAGCCTGATTGCACTCACCTGGCCGACCGGCTCAGCTGTCCCTCATCAATCCAATCAAGACACAGCATATCTACTCCAGTCTCCCAGCAACTCACCGCCAGATTGTTTTCTACACCAGTGGTATTGCATCCTCCTGGCTGCTCAATTCAGTTATCCTGTCTGCGTGTTATTCTGTACTTTTTTGTAATTAGTTTCTCCTTGTGCTTCCAGTGCGATCCCTCAGCCATCGGCCACCAGAGCTTCCAGCCAACCTGCCTGCTTCTTCCTTCACCATACCTGCCTGCCCTGTTCTCAGTCCAGCCTGAACTGCCTACCTCCACTCCGGACCTCCATAGTCTCCAAACCTGCCTGAGTCTCCGAACAATAAACCATTTAAACATCTTCAGTCATTGCCTGCGCCTGGGTCCTGTTTAAAACATAATCCTAACAGATACCAGTATAAAGCAATTCTAACACTGTTAATCAGTGACCTATAATTATTTTTCCAACTGGTCTTTCACAACAAACAAATGTTGTTTGTTCATACTTTGCATCTGCAGTGTAGACTTGCAAAACTGAACACACTATTACCATCAGTGCATATGCAGAACAGTTGCGCTTCTTCAAAGTCTGTTTGGAAGTAGCAGTCACACACACACACACATACCTTTATTGCATACTATATGGGCACACAATTAGTTGAATCTCATGGAAAGAATAACATAAAAGGTTGTTTCGATATATGTCCACCTCCATATCCCCATGGACAAAATGTAACACGCAACTCATGTTTGAGATGTATCACACACTTTATTGAAATGTCTAGCCCAAATGCTCCAATACTGTAAACATACAATCTCAATTTCCAGTCATCAGTTACAAAAAACAAACTATTACTTACTGCAACTCATACAATTTCAGCCAAACTCTTTAAAACTGCAGAAGCCATTAATCACCTCTAGAGGAGAAAGTGGCGTTACTATTCAGGACTGGCCGGAGTTCCTGGAAAATGTTTTATTGTAAGCAGAGGGGAAAAATGACTCCTCTAAAGAAGTAAATGATCCAAAATGTTCAGCCTGAAGGAGATACTTGCAATGGAATCAATGTTGTGTCATCTATCATTATAGCACAAATTCAGTTTTATCTATTTACATAACTATGTCCTGGTGACATACAGTAACCATGAATGAAATGGCAGGATAAAAAAGTTATTGATTCTTAATCATTTTATCGCTGTCTCTTAGCGTGAGGTTACACACATTTCATATTGAACTGGTGCCAGAGTGATGCCGAAGGTATAGTCCATAACAGGCTTCACCCCGGGAGGCATGGAGAAGGTGAAGTGCTGCATGAAGGAGGTGAAGAGGAGGAAGAGCTCCATCCTGGCCAGGCTCTCCCCGAGACACACCCGCTTACCTAAGACAGGGAAAAAAACACACCTTTAGCCTACAGGTCAAACTAGTTTAAGACCCTAATGCCACTAATCTCCGGTACAAACAGATAAAGACACTAGTAAAACAAGAGTTGTGTTACTTCTCACCCGCAGAGAAAGGGATGAAAGCAGCTCGCTTCACAAACTTTCCCTCCTTGTTCAGAAAGTGTCCTGGGTTGAAAGTGTTGGGCGTCTCCCATTCATTCTTGTCAAACAGCACCGATGTCAGATTGGGGATTATTGTAACTCCCTGGTGATTGATTCATAATGACAATTCATAAAGACGCCATATGGTTGTTGATGTTGCATACAAATAGATTAAGAGAACTGACCTTTGGGATTTTGTAGCCTCCCAACTTCATTTCCTTGTTGGTAACATGAGGCAGGTTGAGAGGAACTATGTTGCCCATCCTCTGGATCTCGTGTAAGACGGCATCAGTGTAGGGCAGGTTAGCACGATCTTCCATGGCCGGCTGTCTGGACTGTCCAATCACTCTGTCTATCTCAGCCTGGACCTTTGCTGTGGAACAGGAGGGGGAAAACAGAAGATGAAATTATATTTCATCAACCAGCAGAAAAGACAAAACAATGCAGCAAACCACCAGGGATACAAAAAAAGTGCCTAAGCATAACTGCCAAAAAGTGCAGTTCCTTCAATTGCCACCTGATGCTTTCTCCAGCACCTGTTTAAAGGTCAATCTCTAATCTGACCTCATTTTAAAACTCTCAACTTTACAGCAGAAATAAACATTTTTACAGCAAACTGTTTGGGTCTTTGCACTTAATCCAATTTGCCTGTTCCAAAAAGTTTATGGTGGGTGCTTTTTTAGTTGGGCTTGGGCTAGCAGGTGCAACCATGGATGTATAATAAGAACTGGATACAGCGTGGGAGGCGGGGCCTCATTCATTCCTATGAGAGCTGCTCATTGGCGCATGAAGATAAAATGGCCCAACTTTTGAGAGAGCGAAACGTCACAGATTACCCGGCATGCCTGAGAAGTACCCGTATGTGCGCTCATAGAGCATGCGCAACTTTAACCACGCCCCCCAAAAGGCTCGTTCACATTAAGCACGTCAATTTGTACATGTAACAGCACCGCACGTTCATGACAGCATGGTACTGGATTGTTATATGATGGATTTTGATATTAACGAGGCGGCCACGGCAGTTAGCAGCTAGCGGCTAGCTAGTAATTATGCTCATTTACACATCAATCGTTATGTACTTTTATATTACGCTGATGTAACAGGATGTAGTGATATCCAAGCAACAGAGCTTCATTTAGCATGATACTTGTGTGGGTTGTAGCCTACATGAAACCACTTGGTAATATATACAAATATATGTATTTTGAGTTATGATCAATTGTGAGTTAAATCTTTATCTAAAAAGTAAAGCTGATGATGGATTACTGTGGTGGAGTTAAAATAACAATAGCCTATTTCTCTTTGAAATGTGATGGAGTAAAAGGATAGTAACTGTGATTATTCATGTTGAGTAGCCCACAAGTAACTAAAACGTATAATACTTGAAGGAAAGGTGTAAAATGTTTCCATAAATACCAATATCACACACTACAACACCGACTATAACACCCCTTATTGTTAAATACCAACCATGTGCAATATATTTTTAATTATATTTTCGTAGAGCTTTGACTTTTTCAGCTGAATAAATATTATAACTCTAGATGGTTTTGTTCAGCATTGCCAGCTTCACTGTTGAGATTTATGTTGTGCCCAGCATTCTCCTGTGCTCTGAAATCAAAATGTGGATAAGCATAAAACAACACTAAAATAAACACTACAATACAACTTGTTATTTGTTTTTTGACAACAAAGGTTGTTCCTTTGTGTGTATAAATATACAACACACAGGCTATATACATATATATATATATATATACATATATATGTATTTAATAATTTAGCGTCCTAGAAAGAAATAACACATACATATATATATATACATACATATACATATATATATATATATATATATATATACATACATATACATATACATATATATATATATATATATATATATATACATACATATATATATACATATGTATATATACATAGGGCATACAGTATATTTTATGTTGTGCTTTTGGCATACAGTATCAAATCTGCCATAAGACTTTAAAATAATGTCACTCTGGTATGATGATGTGGTTGTAGGGAGGATGTGGCTCAGTGGATAGTATGTCGTTGTGTCCCTGGGCAAGGCACTTCACCCCTAATTGCTCCTATGGGGATTGACCACAGTACTGAATGTATGTAAGTCGCTTTGGATAAAAGCGTCTAACAAAATGACATGTAATGTAATGTAATGTCACATTAGAGAATAGACATATTTGTGTACCTGCTGAGTTGCAACGTGGACCTTTTATAGGTAAGTGGTTGTTGCACAGAATTAGTCATTCATAAACGTGAAGGCCACTTGTAATTGCAAAATATGTCACCTTGAAGTAAATGTATTTGAAGAGTGAGAGCTGGAAACACTTTAGTTCAACACCTGGCAACTTACCACTAATAACTTTGTCCTAATGTCATCCATTTGCACATAATTATTTTAGAACAAATCGCCTTGTTGTCTTGGTCAATGCTCTTACCCTGGATCTCAGGGTACTTTGCCATGTAAAGGAAAGCCCAGCGCAGCGTGGTGGAAGTGGTCTCAGATCCAGCCACAAAGAGATCCATCACAGACATTATCAGGTTTTCCTCATCAAAAGTATTGCCTGCCTGCCCCTTAACCTGAGAACATATTCAATACATCAAATGTGTTAAAACATGCTGAAAAATACATTTCAACCACTACTACAGCCAAGGTCATTATAATTTATGATATTGACTTCATTGATGTGTACTGGACCTGTACCTTGAAAAATAATTTAAATGCTTTGCGTTGTTTGATCAAAAGGAGTGTATTCTGTTGGAGATAAGGCTCAAACAATAGGACTGTAAGGCAGAGGCCATTGAAGAAGGTTATATCAGGTGCCTTTTTCAACAGACACAGTTGATAGTGGTTCCAAACAAGCATATATCATGTTATCAGGAACTGAACAATGATAATCTTCTCACATAACACAGTATACAAACAAACAAAGCTATAGAGACAATCACCGTCTGAATCTCGTTCAGGAAGCAGTCGATGTAGTCTCTTGGGTCTGAGGGATCCCAGTTCTGTTTGTGCTTCTGAATCTCTACTCTTATGAAGTCCTTTACATCTTTCCAGATCTGCTTGACTCTCTGATGAGGCCCTGGCAAACGCCTCATCAGCCAAGGGAACGAGTTGAAGAGCTGCAGAGTGGAGCAGAGCCATGTGTTTACTACAACCTGAGTCTGAATACAGTCACTGTTGTGAATGATAAACACTATGAGAAATATTTCTGCACAGCCCAGCAGTAACATTTCATCAATATCTTTAAAAATGCTGTACCTGTGCCCAGATGGAGCCTTCAATCTCCAGACTTTCACTGAACCACTCCATCAGTTTTATAAATTTCTCATCACCGTACTCAAAGCGATGTCCAAAAACCAGGAAGCAGATGATGTTGGAGACAGTGTTGTTGAGGACAATGTGTGGATTCAATGGCTTACCTTCACAAACAGATCATTTGATGTCAATTGGGTATTTCTCTTTGTTTATTCATCTGAAATGAGTCACTGTGCTTTCACTATTTACCTTTAAAGCTATTGAAGTATTGTGCACAATATATAAATTCATCCAAGACGATGGGCTCAAGCGACTTCTTGCCAAAACCGAAAATCCTGAGGGTGGAAAGTGCAAAACGCCTCTGCTGCTTCCAGATGTTTCCACTACTGAAAACTATACCTGATGGGAAAATATCAAAAGTAGATAAATATAGAGTCGATAGAAATCAGGAAATTAGAAAAGACAAAAATATTAACTATTTACAGCCTTTTCCAGCTCAAATCTTTATTGGATATATGGGGATGTCACTGGCAAGAATACATGGTGCCAAACTCCTTACAGTTCATAGACCCTATATGAATTATGTAATGCAAATAATAACTAATACTAACTCCTATCTTTAAATTCCCACCTATCTCATTAATCAACTTTTTAAAACCTTTTTTCCTCCTCATAGTTAAATAATTCTCCAATTGTATACTAGCCAATAGTCATGTCTATTGGTTTGCTGCCATGGCTGTGGTCCAAGACAACAGTTGATGGTTAACAAAACTTTTACTAGTTAATTAAGCTTTCGATACCATCTTTATACTTACAGTTCTGTTATTTGTACTTGATAAAAATCCATATAAAATATTGTTTATGTGTGTAGTACGGCAACAGAAAAGCAACAACAGGAAACAGGAAAGCTACAGTAATACACAGCTTCTATCCATCTTAAATCAATGTGACAAATGATGTGTATCTTAAAATCACAACATACATGAAAAGGATAAGACATAAACTTTGACCAGGGTAAAAAGTATGAACAAACACAAACTACAGCACTGATGGTGGGTGGCAATGTTTCAAGCAGTGTATTTATTCAACAAAAGGAATTTTATAGGCGACACAATAGCTGTGGGTTGGGCTTAGGCTCGCTGTGTGTGGGATAAAACCTCTCACCTAGTCCCCGGGAGACGTCATGCTGCAGGGGCATGTCGGGACGGTCCACCAGACTGTCTCCCTGAGTAACCAGAGCTTCTTTCAGAACCTCAAACCTGTTCAACACCACAACCCATGTCTGTCCCATTCTCAGGCTGTACACATCTCCATATGTCCCTGCTAACTGTGAGAAGATGACACAGAAGAGGAAAAGCATCAGAAAACACAAACAGTCAAATCAGTCGACCAATTGCTTTTTAGATTTGTATACACTTGTTGATTTACCTTTGTCATACTCTCATGTGTCCTTTTGTGATCCAAAGTGAACATGTTGCCAACAATGGGAAACGCCCGGGGTCCTGGAGGGAAGCTGCCTGACCGACGGTTCTTTAAATAATCTGCAGTGAGGATGAAGATTATAAGAAAGAGCAGCAGAGTTTTGACATCCAAGTCAACAAGGAATCCAAACATCGACATGATTGAATCTGTTCTGCAACGGCTCAAGCCTCTCTAACCAAAGCTTTTTATTTGTCCTTCTTCTACCGTGAAGTGGGTGGGTTTGTTTAGCCAGGAACTGGTTATATAACCTATCTCTCTCCTGTGGGGAAGGACCTTGGATCTTGGCAACACAGCAAAGGCATTTGGTTGACATTGGACTTCACCCTCTGTATGACTGTAATAAAGGTATCTAAGAATTGTATTCAGTGATTTTATTAAAAAAAATAAATCTTATTGAGAAGTAGGGAACACCATTTGCTCTTTGTGAATAAGGCAAAGTGCAATGTCATTATATATAACTAAAGTGTGACAGCTAAGTTTTGATTCCTTACCAAAACATAATATTATTTTTTTTACCGACATTCTTCCCAACAACAAGCAAAGAGTATACCATCATACTTCCTGACAGTCTTTTATGGGAATGAGACATGGGCGTCGCAGCCATTATATGAGGGTGGGACAAGTCCCCCCCACTTTTTCAAATGATTAGTTTAGACCCCCCCACTTTTACTATGCGGAAAGTCCGTGAATCGGTCTATCCACTCGCCGCACTTTGTAGAGCGCTGTGTCAGTGCTTCACTATCAAATGAAATCCATTCCACTTGCTTATTGAGAGAATGCCCAAATCAATGAAACCATGTTTTCACTGCTACTTTGTACCAAGGCAGATTCTCACATAGCGCGCGCATGTTCAAGGAGTGTTGTCATAGTTGGACAGCTCAGGGGCCTCATTTATAACGCCTTGCGTAGGATTGACGTAGGAAGGTTGCTTACGTAGTACAAAGCACAAAAATAGGTACATAAATTTTCCGCCATTTTCCGATTCACAAAACGTTGCGTACCGGCGAGGGAAGTGCGTACGGCACTTCCTACGCCTGTTTCCCTTGATAAATCACAATCGACTCGTAACGCCCATATTTGCCTATAAATAGTCAAAGAAACGCCCATTCATTCATTCATTTTGACTGACTGCATGAAGAAGATCGCAGGAAATTATGATAGAACAGCTAAAAAAGACATCTCACACCGTGTCAGATTTTGGTTATTGTGGGGAGGTCGAGATAAATCATATTGTTTGGTGGATGCAGTTTGAACCACAGTAGCAGCATGGAGGTCGGATCGTCACCAAAATAAATAAATAAGTGGTCCGAAAAAAGTTAATGACAAAACAAATACACATAACCTTCCTCAGGCAGTGTGTTTGTCCCGGGGACAGGAGACACCCCCTTGATGAGAAACTGTAAGAAATGATCGGGGAATCCCTCCGGAGTGGAGTCATGACGACTGGATCTGAATTATTTTTGTTGTATTTGGTAGTTTGTGTTCCAGCTGTCGATCAGCAACTATATATCCATAATCCACCAGTTAAAGGAAATACAACTAATGGATTGTGTTATATTAGCTGTACAATTTACCACATATGGTGTTCTTAGTTTCCATACCTCCTGTGTTTTACGAGCGACTTATCAAGTCTTGGCAAACGGCATAAAACACGATTAAACGTGATAGTATATAAAACCATGCTCGTATCTACAACCTATAGAAATGCAAAACGGCGTCAGTTTAGACGTAATTCTGTCCTCCTGCTTACCGCATCATTTATGAGAAAACATTTCATAACATTAACACAACATATTCGAGGTGGTTTTAAATAACATATCCGTATTTATTTATTTCTCCAAGTTATGTTTTTGTGTGCACTGAGGAGTCTCAAACTGGCGTTTGTTTAATCATTTAAAGATTGGCTTTAATCAATGTTTGAAAATGAATTCTTCATATTTGATAAATGAGAGGTAACATTTTATTTATGGTATTATTTCCACATATTTCTCTCCATTCTTCCTTCTGCCAACGGTGTCGCAGTTTCTCGTCTCTCCCGTTTGTGTGCTTAGTGCGTACGCATGGGTTAGAGTTTGCGTGGAGGACAGCACATTTTCCCGTCAAGTTAGTATTTTATAAATCGCAAACATTGCGTAGAAACTGGCGTACGCCATTTTTTGAGCGTATATCCCTTTATAAATGAGGCCCCAGATCTGTTGTATGAAGCGATGCCGGTAGCGGAGGTAAGGCACACACACCAAATGTTCAGGAAATGGTTAATACAGCGAAAATCAAAGCTGACGATCTCTTGGTTTGATATGTTTTCTCCCCCAGACAACATGGACATAAGAACATTTTTTTCAAAGAAGAGGAAAGTAAGTCATCAGCTGGTAGCAGTTAATCAGTTAACAGTGATGGCGGCGTCTCACTTCTGGAGAGGAGTTTCGTCTTTATGTCATGATAGAGAGATACAAATACTGAATAGTATAGATGAGAAAAGGCATCGAAATGCCAGGTTACTAGTATTTATCAGTATTTATTATCACTTCACCACCTCTCTTGACATCTAGGCACTTGAGAGTGAGTCAGAGGCAGAATACAGGGACAGTGGAGAGAGGTCCATTGCTGAGGTGAGTGATGAAAGGGAAATGACAGTTGAGAGTAAATTGTGATGTGGACTCTCATCCCAGGATTTTAAGGAAATCAGTGGGGATATTGAACAGGAAACATTTCAGTCAAGGGGCATCATATGACCAATATAGACAGAAGAGCAACATTTATTTGAACATTTAAGTCAATGATACCATTCCTAGGTGAACTTAACATCCGTATGGAGTCAGATCAGTCTCAATATTAATAAATGCTCACAGAAGGATTCACAAATGTATTTTGCGATTTATATATAAATGACTCTCCACAACAATATCTCTCAATGCACTCACAAATATTTATTGTTGTATATAAATGTACAAAAAATGGGCATTTAAACTGCTTTTTATTAATTCAAAGACAGCTCTGAATTAATAATCAAATATGTTTCCTTTCTTTACTACTGAAATTACAAAATGTACCCATCATTTTCCTCATGCTAGTATAGCCACATAAAAGTATCAAACCACCTGTTAAAATGCACCAGAATACAGGAAATCTATATTTTGTTTCGCCCCCACACCCCCGTTAAAAATGTCCCCCCCACATTCAGGATGCTTCCTACGCCCATGGAATGAGACTATTATTTCTGGCTTCCATAAGACTTTAAATTATATGACAACTTTATTATCAATTTAATTGCAATTCATGTATAACAAGACATGATTTAGCAACCCCCAAGATCCTCACTCGTCTTTTTCCCTTTTTTACATTTACATATATATCCTGTTATATTTTTTATATCAGGACTTGAGGTTGTATTGGCAATTCAACTTTACATCGGACTTGAAATTAATCTTTTAAATATTTACCTCACTAACATGTGTTGAACAACAGTGTTTCCAACAACAGGAGAACACCTGGCTGCCACAAAACTGTTCCAACAAAGCTGGGACAACAGTCTTTCTCTTCTTGCAAGTCACTTACTCGCACAGGTATAATATGGAATTTACAACATTTTA